GATCCTCCTTGCTGTTCGCGGATGTTTCACTCCCTTAATATTGCCAGGTGACGACGTATGCTGAAGTCAACACTTTTGTGAGGACTGGAACTAAACTAATACACAGTCGCTGTGTGATCCCTTCTTCAAGATCAGAATGATCAACAAGTCACCGGTGGATAAAGGGATACGCTCCTCCGACCAGATTCTGTAGAACAAACTAGTAATCGAGTGGAAGAGGCAGTTACTTACCCGCTTGAAAAGAATGGGGAGAAGTCCATCAGGTTCCTCAGCTTTCCTTATCTTCAGTGATTGCTAACAGCTTCGCACTTATAATTTTGATGGGGCTCACATGTTACCACCTACGGGGTTTCCACTGCAATCGTCAGAAGAACCAGAGCACTAGGCCAATTGAACTGTTCACTAAAATACCCTGCCCAGCGATCAAGTCGTTCTGTATTGTGGATGCTTTGTCCACTTTTATCGCAAATGGTCTCACTAACCGGTATGCGACGACCTCCGCTGCTGAAATAGTCTTTGACTATTCCCTGATGCAGAAGCTACCTCATTTCACTAGCTATTTCGGCCCCCCAATTTTCACTATCTTTCTTAAGGCTATTTCTGAGTTGAAGTTGCAAACTCCACCGGTTCCTACACTGATCCTGGCAGATTGGAATCTTTTACTTTTGTTCCACCAGAATTACTAACTCCTGAAAGATCTACTGTCTTCGGCAAATTGCGGGCTCGGTCCCACAAGCAAAGATTTGATGCTGAGTGCATCGCAAATCTAATTTGATCCCACTGTTGGTCTACTTCACCATGCCGTGGCTTTCCTAGCTCCTGTCTCAGCTTTTCCTCAGAACGTGCGCAGATAGACGGATCGCGCAGACGATGATGAACTAACTAAGTAGGCGATTTCTGCCGATAAATCGAAGAGTGAAGCGCATCATAACTAGAGTATGATCCGACTCAACGCAGGTGGTCCAATAGGATCCGCAATTTTGTACAGAACCACGCAAACCGGAGCTTACAGCTATGTGGTCAATTTGGATCAACTTCCCCTTTGAACTAGAACACCATATAGCCGTTTGGCGAGAGCTGTCCAAAGTTAGTGCTATATAAGAACAACCGATGATCCGCGCTTAGTTGATCACTTGTTTGTTCGCTGGGCGAATTACCCTCTCAGACCGGCTTCGGATGCGCTCAGTTTTCCAACCTCTACGTTAAAATCACCTTCCAACACTGCAATATTAGAGTTGCGTCTCAACCGAATGAGCTCGGCGAGCTTGTTGTAAAACTCATCTTTTTGTGAAATGGCACGGTGGTCGTTGCATATGCGGAAATGATGAACAAACGGATTTTGGTGTTGATGCCCTCCCGATCAACTACTCCTCCCACACGTTGTACCGACTGGGACGTCAACGCAATTCGAACCCCAAACCCGGAGAACCATGAGATTGGACTTTGTCTGACCTCTACCCATTGATCTTCAGACACGATTAGATCTTTGGCTCAACAATAGCCATCCTGTGTAAGTCGTTAGGTCACCGAGGTGCACTAGTNCACTAGTCATCACGCCACGTCAAGGTGCAGTCGCATCGTGATGTGATCAAGCTCCTGAGGTACTTAAAGCTCTCAACCACTTCCAGCTGACCACCGCAGAAAGTGAGCGTATGCACGGGCTTCTGTCAGTCTTAAACAAGCACTTTGCATTTGGACGGCCCAAAGCACATACCATACTTGGATACCTTTATCACCAAGCGGTTCACAGCGTGTTGGAGTGCCTGTGCGTTGTTACCCAGCAAGGCGATATCATCGGCATATTCTAAGTCAAGAACTGTTCTCCGGGAGGAGTTTGACTCCACCGTTTGCTAGTTCGGACAAAGTATTCTGTAGAATATCCTCCATGATAAATTTGAAGAGGAATCGGGATATAGGGCAGCCTTGTTGAACTCCACTGGAGACGGCAGAGTGACGAAGGCTGGTTATAC